TAAGTGGGCTGGTAACCAATATAGTAGAAAGGGTATAATCGAAATGCTTTCAATCTAAGCACTTTTAAAACAGGAACAGATAAATATGTGTCTAAATTTATTGAAAGGCAGGTTATTTATTTACTCTTCCAAGCCATCCAAATGTATATTAAAAGAGTACAAATTAACAGGAACTAGACAAGCATTGAAAGTTTGCTTAATTAAAGTTTGGGTATCAAATTATGTATTTCATACCAAGTTACTATGCTCTACAACTCAAGTATGTGTTAATGGGTCTAACTCAGCAAGGAGCATGCTGCACTAACTATACAACAATCAACAGAACAGTGTACTGAACAAGTACTATTTCAGTTGGAGGCTATATTATGTTTTTAAATTCTCCCTAAATGGGGTTTTTCTTAAGTCAAAAATCATGGAACCCAAAAATTAGTTGGTATCTATGGTCATGATCGTGTCTTAATTCTCGAGTTTGCCTTACTTTAGTCATGTATTTCATCATTTGTCCTTTAATAAAAGCTTGAATTCAGAGTTTTAAGTGGCTCAGCAAAACAAACAGTGGAGTGGAGGGAGAGGTGTCCCAATTTATTCCTGTTGTACATACTGAGGAAAACCTTTTTGTTCTCCCAGATTTAGAAAGAAACAAATTGAACCATTTATTTCTTAGTATTCTGCTGCCATGGGTAGATTCACTTGTTTTTTTAACCTTTATTGACTGCTGTACAAGTATAGGTCCTGTTGTGTTGCACATTAATCTTTACCAGTAAAATAAACATCACAATGTTACTATCAGTTTGGATAAGTTATGCAGTAAAATTATAGGGGAAATTGATGACTTAGTTTATTCAATATTTTTCCTTTAAAACATCTCATTACTAACTTTTAAAATAATTTTGTGATCCCTTATACTTGAGGCAATGAAATATTTTGAGCTCTAGTTAAGCATGAAGACAAATCTAAACAACAAAAGCACTTGTAACTTGTTTTGTAAATGTCATGCCTTATTTTTCATTTTTGACACCTTAAAGTGCATTTTCTGTCGACTGTGAGCAAATTTCCCTTCTGCCTTTAATGAAAATAGCGTATTAAGTAGCCAATTGCTGCAAAATTATAAAGCAAGTTAGCTACCAGTGGATCACACTGGACTACCACTCAAGACACATAACCAATGGAGGTCACGTGTGGCTTTAGGAGAGCGCACCTGTGCCAGATGCATGCCACTTTCAGTAGCTGCCAAATGTGCCTTTAATTAAGAACATCTCTAATTTTTTTCTTCAGATCAAGTCAGCATTTGGGGGCAGGATCAGGGCAGGGGACCTTGGGGTGCAAATCTGGTGAAACCCACCAGAGAAGAACCCTTTGTTTGTCGAAGTGACGTGTAATTTTAGTTGAAATGTTTGTGTATATATATGTGTATTTGCCTTTGGTAGCATGTTATTTGTTAAAACAATTGTCAAAAAAAATTGCTCTGTCGGTCTTACTTTGATGTAAAAACAAAGTGCATTCTATACATCTAATATGGCCTTTGTACCTAACCATGTTCGTAGGAAATCTTTGTACTCTGTGTGCAGCAGTATTTAGTTTGCATTTAAAGTGAAAATAATGGCTGTTATTTTTCTGGCATTAGTAAGATAAACCGAAAAATAAAAATGCCTTACATAGCTCACAAGTGTATTGTTTCTGCATGTATTTATTTTAAAGGGCAATATTTTTCATATCATTAGTGAGTCTCATTTTAGCCCATACTTTCCATATAAAAAGCTTGCTTTTTATCATGATATTGCTTTGAAGGCTCTTTTTCTGTATAATATAAAAAGAAGTTCAGAATTTCCTTCTGTATCAATCCCTATGATTATAGTGAGTGGGAGGCCCTTGGGATTAAAATTAGTACTTCAGTGACCTTGGGTGTCAACTGCATGAAGTTTCCAAGAGCTGAGGCATTTGTATTCCTCACAAAGCTTTAAGTTTTAAGATACCACAATTTTAAGTTTTAAAAGTTTTAAGTTATCACAGTGTCTTGACAGGGAAGTTTTGCTAAGATCTGCTGGAACGCGGCAGCCTGACATTAGCAATTCTTGCTAGGTTTGGCATGAAAAGATACAGTAAATGGTTGTACACTGTAAATATGAGGTCATTTGTGGTGAACTACAGAAAGTAAAATTTTATGAATCCTTAGGGATCCAATACCCTTATTTAAAAATTAAGTAAGTGAGGCCTGGAATTGTGAGATGGCAGTTGGTGAGTGAGACTATTGATTCAACTTTACTGCCTGGTGTTCGGGGGACTGCTTTCAGGAAGAGCTAAGATGTATTGGTGTTCCCACCTCCCCGCCCTGGCTTAAAGGCAAAATCATCAGTTTGTAAAAATTCCATTAGTAGGCTACTGTGACATTGAAGAATGTATTATTGAGTATATTCTAGGTAACCAATTTAATAACTATAGGGAAATAATTATTGATATTAAACCTGATTTTGATTTTGAAATGTCACTAATTTTTTATTTTAACCAGGGATTTGCTTTTTTACTCATTTTAACCATGTTAGTGTATCACAGATTCGGGGTGCTCATCTCTAAGGTACAGCCCACAGCTGAGCCTGTCTCTCTGCTGATAGATGCACATGGCTTCCAGAGGCAAGGAGGACTTTGGTAGAGGTATTTCCAAAAAAGCATTTTCAGACTCTATTCTCAATGGACTCAAGGAAAAACTACAGCCCATTTTTAGAAGCTAGTTTCTCTACCTTCAGACTCAACAAGAAAAGGAAGAATTCCTGTCATAGAGTAAAATAAGCAGGCACTTTGGAACCATACATGTCTGCGTTCACATTCTGGTTAACCACTCTTATTAAATGTGTGACTGAAGAACTTACTTAAATCATCTGAGTCTGTTCCTCATCAATACCTGAGGTTAATGAAGCTACTATTTGGGACTATCATGACGTTTAAAGGTAACGTGGAAAGTCCAATGTCTCACAATATGTATTTAATAAATGGAACTAATATTTATGAGGGATATGTTTTCAAAATTTGCCTATTTTTAAATACCTTTTAAGAGGTTGATGGTTCATATTGAAGTCCCCAAAACTGGGTTCTTCCTTTGATGTTTACTGTCACTTAAATTTTTAAGGTTTTGAGTGACCTTACTTATAAGCATTTGATAAGGTCCCATCTGACTATTCAACAATCAATTAATATGTATTGTTCCAAGTATAGTTCTGATGTTAGGAATATAGCAATGTACAAAATGGACAAAAATCTTTATTATCATCAGACTTAATAATCTAGTGAGGACAGACAATTAGTAATAGGAAAATAGGTATGTGTTAGAATGTTGTAACTGCTGTGAACAAAAGCAGAAAAAGGTGACTGGGAATGTAGGGAACAGAGGAGGTGAAATTTAAATGGAATAGTCAGCCTCATGGAGGTGACATGAGCAAAGAACTGAAGAAGGTGAACGAATGAGACGTGCAAGTATCTGGGAAAGGAATCTGTCAAGTCACAGGGAACAGTTGATTCAAAAAGCCCAGAGGCAGATGCATACTTGGATATATCAGGAACAGCAAGGCAACTTGTGTCTGGAGAGGAATGACTTGGCTTCTGTTTGAGAGAAATAGAACCCTTAGAGGGTTTGAGCAGAGGAATGATGTCGTCTGATTTACATTTTAACAAGATGGGGCCGGCTATCAAACTGAGAACAGCTAGGGATTAAGAGCAGCTGTAGAGAGGCTCCCAGCCAGGGGAGTTCAGAGTGGCACAGAGGCGGCTAGCACAGGAGAAGGCAGGGGGGGCCAGGGTGAGAGTGGGAGCAGCACAGTGAGGTCAGAGTCTAGATGTATTTGGAAGACAGCCAATTTGCTGATAGACTAGATGTTGGGTGTAAGAAATAGAATTGTCAAGGATGACTTAAAGGTTTTTGGCCTGAGCAACTGGAAGGACAAAGTTACCATTAACTGAGTTGGAGAAAATATGATTGAAGCGACTTGGAGATGTTGAGGCAGTTGAGATGGGAGTCTGGAGCTTAGGAGTCACTTTCATAAAAAATCGTATTTTAAAGCTAGCAAACTGCGTAAGCCCACCAAAGAAGCAAGTATAGATCAGAAGAAAGTATCTAAGCAGAGGAGGGCCCTGGGGCACGCTAACATTAATGGGGAGGAGAAAGGAGGAACCAGCAAGTAGACCGAGAAGGAACTTTCTTGAAGAAAGATGAAAGCCAGGCGCCTATGTCTGAGGCCTCAGTAAGAGAGTATCTCAAAAAGAGGAGGTGATCAGCATCTCAGATGCTATTTGGTAGGGAGAGTAAGACAACTGAGACTGGACCACTCGTTTAGCATGGAGAGCCACTGAGGATCTTGCCACGAGCAGTTCAGGGGAGTGGTTTTTAAACTAGTGAGTTTAGAAGTGCGATGAGAGGAGAAGTTTTCTCTTTCAAGTTTTATTATCAAAGGAAGCAGAGAATTGAGGCACTGCTACAACAGTCAAGAACTTTCTTTTGCTTAAAAAAGTGGGAAAAAGAGTGTGTTGAAAGGTTTGCACCAGTTGAAAATGTGATGAGAGGGGCTTCGATCTAGTGCATAGTGGAAACAACCCACTTAGAAGGTATCCAGCAACAGTCCTTTACAGCAGATCCCATTATTTTAATAAAAATATTATTAAATATACATAAGGAAGAAACAGTTTTCCTGCTAAGAATTAAGTTCATTTAATGCTACTATCTCTGCAGGTAATGAGGCAAGAAGGAATAAAACTATCTCTATAGATAAGGAACAACTTTAGATGATTTATCAAAGATTATGCACTATGCTCTTGAAAAACAGTAATAAATTTTGGAAAACAAGTTATTTGGTCTGCATACAAAAATCTTAACTATTTTGAGTGATAACCCCAAAACAATATTTTCAGCAGTCTTTAAATCATATCCTTTTTTTCTTATATGTTTAAATTTAGGTCTAATGTTTTTTGTTTTTTTTTTTTGCTTAACACATCAATTTCTGTTTTTTTCCTTAAAATATATAGGTCTCCATCAGTTTTCTCAACCTTTTTTTAACCCATTTCTCCTTTTGAAAAACTGTATCTCACCCTTCTTTTCCCTTCAACCTTGTCTCCATGTGGGACTCACAGGCCTGTATACCATAAACATTAAGATGCTCAGACATCAGTGTGGAGGGTGCTGCATCCACACTTTTAAGTTAAATCAGGATATGAGAATCCCAAGTTTTCCAAAAGCATTAGTGTTTTAAGCCCAGGAAGTAAATTATTAATGGTGATGTTTTAAGAGAAACTTTAGCATGAAAACTAGACTTAGTTTTATTAATGCAACAATTAAAACACTCATTTTATCATTTTTCTAAGTGCATGCAAGTATCTGGAATACACAATTTTATGGTTTATTATAAAGAATACTGGTCATTTGTATATGTATATTTTTAATCAAAATCCTATTGTATATGACAGTAAAATTCACACATAGTAAATTTAAGAACTCAAAAGATTCATTTGGGTTTCAATGAACTATCAGCTTTCCGTACTAGAAGGTAAGTAGAATCGATTCTTTATGCTGTCCTAATGTACATGTGGAATCTGACTGTTGAAGTTCACATACTAGATCATTCAATTTATTGGTCTACTAAGAGGTAGTGGTTCTAAAACTTCAGTGGGCCGAAGAACCTGAATGCATTTAAAGTGCAGGTACCTTGGCCCCACTCCCAATTATTCCAATAAAATGGGACTGAAATAGTATCCAGAAATCTCCATTTTTACAAGTGCCCTCATGGAGAGAGTAGCATATTGTAAACCTGAAGGTGGTGAAAGAATGACATATGAGGTGCTATAGAAAATTCTTCAAAGGGTTTTCCCTGAACAAGCAAGAAACATTCTCATTTCAAGCCCCAACTGGTTTAAACTTGTCATATGATGAAATAACCCACTGCAGAGAATCCTAGAGTGTTAGTCCACAAATCCATGCTTCTCCAAGGCCCCAGTTCTGGAATAAGGGAAGCAGGACAAACCTTGCTTGAGCTTGTATACAGACTGCACAAGGCGGCAGAAGGGACCTGTTACCACCCCACAGCCTGTGCAAAACCACTTCATCTTTTGGTGGAGTGCTTCTTTCTGCTTTTCAAACACTTTCTGAAGACAGCTATGGTCTCCTATGCAAACTGTACTTCTCCAGAGGCCTGGAGATCATAGGTGTAGCAACTGCCAGGCTCTTCCCACCTTGACTTTATCCCCAGTTCAACATTACATTGTAGCATTAAAGGTCCTATATTTCCTGACAATTCATACTATTACCTAAGAAGATTATGAAATGAGCCAGGACACAACACAGAGGAGTTGCAAACTTCTTTTTTAATGGAGATATGTTTTCTAATGCTAGATGCTGTGAAAATGGCAGTGGTGCTTTTAACTGCTCCTGAAGACAACTGTGTTTCCTTTGTGACTGATAGGTTTCTTTAAAAAATGAAAGGCTGGGAGGTACAGTGAGAATCCTGAAGCTCCTTGTCAAATTATGAGTAGAAATTATTTTCTGTAGCCTTCTAGGTGCTCTTCTAGAGGTGGAAAGGAATTTAAAAAGATATGGCATAGCTCCTGCCCTTAAGCAGACTTACTTTCTCATTGGAAAGACAAGACAAATACATCAGGAGATAGACAAGTTACACCGCAAGGGGTCACAGAATGATGAGGGGGCTTAAACTGGGTCTTAAAGATTAGCAGGCAGGAAGGAGGCTAGAGAAAAGACATGAAGCAAGAGTGAGCCTGAGCTCGCCAGGAAACAATAAAACCCAGTTTGGTTGAGGTATGGTGGTTCAGCAGGACTGCAAAGTAGGAGACGGTAGCCAGAGAGAAACCTTGGAACCACACACTGGAGGGAAAGAGAGAGCCTTGAATGTCAAGTCTAGGAATTTGGAATTTGACTGTAGACAAATAACAAAGCAACATTTTGGAATAATGATATAGTGATGTGTAAAAGACATGTTGGATGGATGGGGGCAGAGAATACTTGAGGGCAGTTAGAAAGCTACCACAAAAATCTAGATACCATGTGATGGAGACCCTGAGAGGAGCAGCATTAATTATTAGTAGCTTTATAAGTTAGTTTCATAAAATATAACTAAACTGAGTTGTGCTACAGACACAGCATCAAGATTTTTCAAAGGATGTTACCAAAATGAACATTTGGGAGGTATGTGATATTTTTGAAACCTTCCCAGTAATTGATCATTTTTATGATAAACAATATAGGAGAAATAAGCTTTCTTGTTTTTTACATTTTATTTAAGAGATTGTGACTTCTTTTTCACTTTACATGTCCAATTTGGCATTGTGCTTTCAAGTACTGCCCCCAAAACTTCTTTAACCTGAGGACAGAAATCTAATGTTTCATTAATTCATTAATCTCAGGAAAAGGAGAAGCTTAAACTTCAGTGTGGGAAACTAGAAATTTGGCAGCGATCCCCTAAGTGTTCAAGATCATCTACTGTTCAGAATGCTACTGGATGAGATCCTAGTCACCGGAGAAATAGAAGAAAACTGGTAACACTTAAAGTGCAACTTCCCCTGATTTATCAAACAATGCATTACTAGAGGAATGGCCTCTGAAGAAGTCAGTTTGAATACCAAGATTTTGATGAACAGCACTTAAGTGCCCCTAATGTATTACAGATAACTGCCTGGTAATAGAGACAAATTGTTAAAACCTGATTTTTTTCTGTTATGATTCTGATATTTTGGGCATGTTAAGAATACAGACCATCTGGGACATAGCCACATGGAAACAGAGCACATTCTATTACCTCAGAGCCAGGTAAGCCTTATTTCAGTGATGGCTCTCTCTGAGCTGTAAGAACTTCCTTTACAATTTAATTCTATAAAATGGAATAAGGTACTGCCAGACCTAAGGTTTCATTCTGACCTGGTACCTGTAGCAACCCCTATGTTGAGGTTAAAGCACTCATGTTGCCACCTTCTTCCCAGATTCAAGAATGCCTTTGTAAAAGGATGTACTGAAATCAGTGCTTTTCTTCCCAGTCTATCTTGTCATGAGTGTATGTGACACTCAGGATCCCTAATGGACCTTTGAATATGGAGTACTCAGTAAAACACAGACTCTAAACTGTTCCCATCTACAGCACAACCTACATGAGGGAAAGGTTCTTTGGGCCCCCAGGTTTGAGAGCAATTAGTGTTCCCTGTACTGATTTTCAGAACCATACAACAAGAAGAGAACTACTACTCTTAAGGTTCTTTTCCTGGCTGAAGATCAACGTGTCTAAGCTTTGAACCTTCTCTTTCGTGGTTTGAGGACAAATTCTCTACAATTCAGATTTGCTACTTGTAACATACAGTTCTATTAATTGATCTTTTGCTGTAAGGGACGTTACGTATGGCCTTGGGGTTTGGGGAAGACACGTGGCAGGACAGAACTGGCCTCTAACATAGTGTATGTTAGTCTAAGAACACTGGAATGAATTAATAAGCTAAATGCCTAGGAAGCATAAAATTCACATCCATATTACATGCTCAATATTATACTGGGGCTATTATACTGGGGGAATGACTTCAAGGTAGGAATGTTTGTTCTTATGAAGGTTTATTTTCCTCCAAATTTGTGTTTTTCTGTAATGCTGTGAAAAGTCTTCATTTCCCTCTTCCCAAGTGTTGAGGTTCAAAAGCCAGCTCTTAACCATAGACTAATCTTCATCTCTTCAATGTCTTGTATGTTGATTTAATTTCATATGTAAGTATTTATATTAGTTTTCCTCAGGGATTTATACATCAATATATATATTCCTACACAGATATATACAAGCTTTTCATCCTCACCTTACCACTTGACAATACAACTTTAAGTGTGTTTTACACAGCTGTTCCTTGGTCAAGGTCATTTGCAAGAGCAAGTCGGTTTCGGAAGAAATCTTGTTTGGTGGGTGAAGGATCCATTGAGGGATTCTCATTAGTTTTTTCCCTGTATTCTGATCCACTGGACCTAAAATCTCAGCACACAGATAAAGTACAGGTTGATTTGGTTTTAATTGTTTTCAAATATTTTATCTATCCAAATTGTTTTGCATTTGTAAAACAGTTGCCTCCTAGATCTGGAATAATTTTCACTTCCCCTGAACGTCATGGTTCAGGACATGTGTAACTAAGATTTGTACCAACATAAAGAGAATACCTTTCTAAGTGCTTTATGGGGACAGTTGTGTATGTCAGTGTAAGATTTTGTGAAATAACACTGTAAAAGGGGAATAAAAGGACAAAATTCAAGAAATCCTATTTTTGATTCAACCAAGTAACTACCCCACAAATTACCAAGGCCCTTAAGTTAAAAATGGATGGAATTGTTCTCTACCAAGGTTATCAAGGGCCTTTACTGAATTTGGGCATTACATTACAAACTCTAACTTTTGCTTGTTTTCATTTTTAAATGAAAGATTTATTGAAGCCAACCACACATATTTGCTACATTTGGTAGAATGCAGAAATTAGTACAGTTATCATATTGAGGAGATTCTATAATCTCAACCACCACAAAGAAGACCAAACCCAATCAATAGTCAACAACCCAAATCAGTTCAATTGAGTCCCCAGACGAGGGTGCATTCTTCCTTTACCTTGTTAAGCCAGTTGGGTAATCCATTCCAGCTCTGTACCTTCTCCAGTTTGTTCATGTCAGAAGTCCCTGAAGGGAGGAGGCTTTCTGGAAATAACCTCTGATAAGCTAGGCTAGGGCTCTTTGGCTAGTTTAAACTCTGAGCATACAATCGACAAAACTAGCCCAGTGACTAAGAACCAGTATCAAAAGACCTCATGCAGGATGTATGCATGTGATGTTTGACATGAAGTTCTTTGTCCCAAGCTCCTATACAACTGAGCAAGTTCTCCATATGCTGAGGCAGAGCTTCCACTATCCACAAAGGAAGGATACGTTTTTCACCATCATTGGTATGCTATAAATCCTCATTGTTGTTATTAGATAAGTTAATTATGACTCTATCATCTACTGAACTAATTGGGCAGAATTCAAACATCTCTTTATATTATTCAGGGAAAGAAGATGAACCCACACAAAGCCTGAAATCCTGACATCTGGAAACCTGATGGATTGACTGATTTGTCTGACTTTTCACCTTGGTACTGGGATCACAGATGAAGCCATAGCTGGCCACCATCCTTGCTACTTCTCATCAGTAAGGACCACTTTCCACTAGCGCAGGGCATAGGGGAAAACTATTTCCTCTCTCTACCCCAGTACATGTGGGTACTCATCAAATAAGATGGTATCTGGGTGGGGTGAAAGTGCCTTTCCTTTTCAGAAGCCCCCTCATCACTTGCCCTTGAAACAGCCTCCACATGTCCCACCCTAAAACTCCAGGCCTTATCTCAGCTCTCAGAATTCCCACCTACCACCACCTCAAATCATCCCTGATTACTACGAGTTGTGCCCAAAATGTTACTAAGTTATATTTTTGCCCTTTCTACTCTTTCCCCATATCTTCTGTTATCCAGAAGGCTAGGAATACCTATAGTTTTGTAGGCAGGAAGTAGGAAGCAAAATATGAATCTTGGCTGGTATTTCCTCTGAGTTATTCCCCAACATGGCAGTTTCTCCTCAGAAGTCATTAGTCAAAACTTGAAATATTTACCTCACATTTCCCCATTTAGCTATATCTGATCTCTCCAAAACCCAATGTCATACTTTGATGGTTCCAACATGCAACTGTTTAGTGTTTACCTGGAAATGGGAAAGCTTTGATGTCACCACCAGCCCCAAGGACCACAGAAATCTTCACCAGTTGCGTTCCCATTTCTGAAACAAATGCCAAAATCGCCCTGTCTAGTTTTCGAAATCCACAAACTCAGCTTAGTTTTTTTCTTTTTTAACTGCTCTTCTCACAAACCATCTCCAGATGTGTGAATTTCTCTGCATTTCTTGCTATTAACTATTAATTTACTAATGGCTAATTTGCTAATCTTTTTCAAAATCCAGCATTCTCTTGTAGCCATGACCAAAAGCTCATTTTCATCCTTTTAAAGATAATTTTACCTGATCTCCTTATAATGCTCACATGGTATGTAGCCAGTTTGACATTTGGGCTGTTCCTAAGTGTGGCTCTTAAGCTCTGATGTAATGTATATCTAAATTGCTGGAAATGATCTGCAAAATATAGGAGAAAGGGCCAGTGTATTTGCTTTTATTCCCTTTCTCTATAAAACAGAAAAGGCTTTTGAGCTTCTGGGGCCATTCTGGCTGACTGCAGGGCAGCTAAAGGGACAGACAGGCACTTGCTCATTAGGCTACAGGAGCTGCCAGTACATCCTGACACACAGCCACCCAAGTTTTGATAGAAAACAGACCTGTTGCTAACTTACATTCATTCACCTGACAAAGACAAAGAGAATAACAAAATCGGGTAGGTCATACAACTACAGATTTGCTACAAATAAGCCGTGAGACTGTTTGGAGCTGGAGAAGGGGGGGATTGAAATCTAGTGCAGCAGAACCCTCTGAACTAAGAAGGGCTGGTTTTCTGACTGGAAAGACTGTTCCCCTTGAAAGGTTTAGGAGACATGCATGTGGAGAAGTATAAGGGTGCAGGAAAACACCCATCCTGTCAGCCAAATCAGTCAGCCCTGGCAATCAACAGGGTAACAAATGACCATTCATTTACCATGTATTTGTTGAGTGCTGTGTTCTAGGTACTAAACCTCGCAGCTAGGCTACCCTTACATTTGGACTGTAATCTCCAATTGGCTAGAATCATTTCTTTTACTTGTTTTGTGCTAGAAACAACCTAGTACACTGAGACCCTTAACTTCATGACTGATTTCAAAAGACCTATTGAGAAACACTTGAAATCAGGTTTAAGTAATCTAAAATGCCTTCAACCATCCCCTTCAATTTTAAAGTTATATAGGAAAATAAGTGGGAAATGAGAGAACCCCAAAGTGGGTAAGAATGGGAGGTGGGGTAAGGACTTGAGATAGGCTTGAAGGAGGTAGAGAAGAAGGTGAGGGTAGAATGATCAGTTGATTCATTAGTAGTCCTGCCTTCTGTTACCTGGTCTGTTCCACAGCCGAGGCTGGGCATATGCAAAAACAGCTGATAAGACCCCAAAAGAAGACTATTCACTGGCATTCAATTATATATGGGCCTGCAGAAGTGCTCTCTCTGTATGTGGTTAAGAAAATAGAGAGGTTTTGATGTGATTGCTGGAAGGAGGGTGATGACTGGGAAGGATTGACTCTGAAGCATGAGTTAGAAAGTGTTAAAGGGGAAGAGAGCGGATTAGGAAGGAGGACTAATCATTTGGAAGCCACATTCTTTGTCTTCCATTCCCCCCAAATCTGAGGATAAGAGGAGAGAGCATCTACATTCCCTATCCCTAAACTTCCTTACATAACCCTCTCCGCCTCTGCCACACCCTCAACCAAGAATATGTATTAACCTAAGTGCAACCTTTATATATAAAGATGAAGTAGCCTCAGACTTCGGGATAGTCTAGATTTAAGTCTTTGACAGCCTCCATATAGATCCTTCTAGAATGGAATTGTTTGTTCAAAGGCAGGGGGTTATGGATTCAGTCCAGCATCAGCCTATCACATTAGATCTGTTCCTGGCTTTTAAGAATCCTCATTTAAAAGTTTTAAAGTCACTGAACATTTCCAACTTTATGATATGCAGTCTTATTCCGATCAACTCTGGGCAGCCTTCAGGGACATGTGACCTGGTATCTACCCAGGACAAATGTGCCTGAGATAGAAACCATCAGAGGGTCATCCATTTCCCAAAATATCTTGGGCATTTTACAGGATTTTTTTTAATGATGTCAACTTGACTCTCCCTTCTGAATCCTTGTGGGTATGAGCATTCGGCCCTCCCCGCCTCAGAGGGAAGAGAACCCTTTCTCAGGTTTTCTGCTGCATCTGGCTCCATGCCTAGCTTCATCCCGAAGCAGCATTCTGGGTGTGTGGGGCCACCAGCCAAACAAGCCCCTATGGATACAAAAAGTGTGTCAGTGTAGACAGGAATGAGCCTCCAGAGGGCTGTGGGGGAGGCAGGCAGCCAGCCCCAGATGTGACACAGGGGACTTTTTTGGCACTGGCCCATTTGGACCTCTGAGGCCAGGCTCTGGCATGGTTCCAGCACCCAGGATTAACCACTTCTTCAAGTCACAGGGCTTGCTGCCAGCCTGACCTCCCAGCACAGAGGAGGAAAATGAGCTGAATGTCTCCTTCTGGTTCCTCCCTGTGCTGTCCACGTGCCTTACTTCAGAGTGCAAGTTCCTACATAATGGCCGGGTGATTCTGAGTGATTCCTAAACAAGTATCTCACCCAGTATATGCACACAAGAAAGAATGCTTAATTAATGAGAAGGGCGTGTTCTCATCAGTTGGGCCATTGACCTTTCTGTGCTATGCTGGGGCTTCCCTGCCCTTCCTTTCTACCTTAGCACAATGGAGCAAACTTTCCATGGTTCTTGGAAGAAAACACTAAGAAGAAGCTACTCAAGCTGCTTCATTATCCCATGCCAAGTCCTCCAATTGCCCACTGTGGCACCCTGGACACAAGGTGATAAGCAAGCGTCACCTGATGGCGCTCACAGCCATATGCCAGATGTAAGAAGCCAGAAAGCCTGCTGGAGGAAGCAGCCACCTGTGTGGCACCACCTGTGTTTCCATTCCTATAACACTCCAGATTTTAAATACCTAAGCAGTGCCAGGATTGATGGCAGTAATATGATTGGGACTGGTTTATGAGAAAGGATAAGGGGACTAAGGGGATCCATTTGGCCCTAAAATGAATCCCAAAAAGCTGCAAGAGGACTGAAAGCAATCAACCAACATGAATCTGAAGAATCCACAGCAAGTCTTCAGCACTAAACCTAGGGCTGGGGGTGGGGGGACTACAGAAAGATAAAACCTGGTCTTCTACATGGTGAGTCCTTAAAATTATAGGTCCCAAAGTCATATTAATTGTTTCAGGTGTTAAAAAGATGTGATTACTCAGACTGATCTACAACAAAGTCAAACTACAGATAAAGCACATCTCAGCCCTTGAAAGGACTCAGGTGACTATCTCAGTCCATCTCCCCCCAGTGTAGGAGTCTCTTTCCTGGCATCGCTGATTATCACCTAGTTTCTACTTAAGAAATCCCACTCCTCCACAAGGCAGCCAGCTCCCATTCCAAGGAGCTGCATCTTTTAGACAGGTCTTCCCTCTTACTCATCACTGCTAGTTGTGCTCCTGCATACAGGCTGAGCAGTCGCTTACATCTCTCTGATGAACGGCAATTTGTAAAGGAACCAGTGATGGATCCATGGGTCATTGTTTTCAGGCTGTCATTATAAATTGTATAAATGGCAGTGGGCAAAAGTGGCTATTTGTTTTGGGAATACTGTGGTTTTAAGAAAAGAGAAAGACTCAAGCAGGTGCCCTTAGGATTTTGGAACCCTTAGAGGGATTTAGGAGCCTAAATCCCAAGGTCAGGCTGGAGAGCCGTCTGCTTCCATGTCTCTTCTCTCCTGTCAAACCTGTCAGAGGCAGGCACTGGGCCGGGGAAGATCTATGATCCTAGAGAGAGGGATACAATTCCTAACTCCCCACCCCCTCAATAAGGGCATCCAGCAATAGTCATGCATGCATGCATGGGGCTAACTTAGCAAAACTGGAAGGGGACCTAGCAGAGCAGGGCTGTGTCTGATGGCAGCACTGTTGTTCTGCCTTCCTCTTCCCCTTCTGCCAGTAAAAGCAGGAAGGGACCAACAATCAGAGACCCACTAATCTCAGTACTACCTCCCCCGTGGGAGTATTAGACAAACCATCAGAAAAGTCCTCGCTCCAGGCCTGCTTCCAATTCTTCCATCAAGACCATGATCTAAATCAGCCAGTAACCTGTACCCTCATGGAGAAAGTGATTTCCATGCACTTCCTCACTTACCAGCAATTCTCCCAAGGCAACAATAATCTTTGTTTAACTTTTCCATCCACTAAAATATGAACCCTTGCTATTTAAAACTGACAGCAGGACCCTCCTTTACCAAAAGAATCTAAGTAGCAGGAATCTCTCTTTAAGAGAGAGGGAAGTAGGCCTGAGGACCAGTGGGGCCAGAGACAGCCATCTCTCGGGCAGGCAGTGGCTGGACTGGAGAACTCTTTTACGGTCAAATGCTAATGCTCAGTTCTCTCTTCCTTCCATTCCATGCTTGATTACTAAGTCTGCAGTGCTGCTAAGTGCTAGTCCAAATGCCTGGTGTTTGATTCCATACAAGGGCTTAGAATTAAAAAGGACCACAGAAGGAAAAAGTCATTTTTGTGCCTCCCATGGAGCTTGGAAACTCCAGTTAGGTGATTTTTTTAACTAGGACCCAAGCCAAATCCATTCAATCATTTCTGCTAAAAAATCCCTAGCATAAGTCCCAATAAACATGTACTAGCATCCAGGATAACTAGTCCCCTATAGGCAGAAGTGCTGAGATGCCACAGAAAACTTTCCACGGGTGGGGAGATTGTGATGGAGCACCCGTCACACCCAACTCCAACAGTGGATCCCACTCCTCCCAGCCTGCAAGGGATATGACTGTTACCAGCTCATTTCTCAGGGGAACTTCCTCTGCTCACTTCTCTCAGGACACATGCCTTTGGTAACAGTAACGTAGGGCTAAAAGATGAAGAGGCAGTGGACAGAGCTGAGTTTGTTTTTACTCTAGATTACAACAAGAAACATCTTCACCTGGCAGGAATTGTGGCTACTGGGTGCAGGAACTGAGCTTGAAGCAGTTGTATGAAATCAAGCTACTTGATACTTATTAGTGTTAAAAACCTCAGGACTTAGCCCAAAGGGAAATGAGTTAGAATGCTGTCTTGTCTAAGGGCTACTCACTTCTTTTTAAAGAGCTTGCGGAAGGAGCTGCGAAAGCCCCCTTTCTGGTCTTGCCTGGGGTTTTGATCGCTGAAAGATGTCTGCTCGCTTTCTCTTTCTTCCTTGGGACAGAATCTGGTGGCGTCTTCTAAGTGCATCTCCTGAAAACACAAAAGAGGGTTGTTCTTTTACTCTTTCCAAAAGTTAACATGTGTCCTGACTATGGGACAATTTTTAATTTGGTCACTTTCCCCTCCTGCCCCAGAAGACTAATGGTGGACACCCTATTCCCACTAAAGCAAACCTAGGCTAATAAAGAAATCAGTGATTTTAAAGAGAGTAATTTTCTGCTAAATATAGAAGTATTTTCTATGTATCAAGGAGAATAGTCTAGAGTAGGATTATGATATAACAATAATTAAAGATCAGGAAATAAAGTCAGCAAATGTTTCAAGAGTATAAAACTTAGTCTGGCACCAATAATGTCTTGCTTGCTCTATCTTTGGATTTTTCTTTCTATAAAACAAGGAAGTTCCCTGAATGTCATACTACTTTTAAACTCATGTTCCTAACTCTCCATTTTAACTATAAATGAGGGAAGGTGTTTTTGAAAAATCGTATCTGTTTAGAAGTAATGTCAACTAGTACTTTCAACCTGCAAATATGGCTTTAATAGAGTTTTTACAATTTTTGATCCATGGTATTTGGACTGTAAAAATAAATTTAAAATAAGGCTCTATGTTTTGTGAACTCTCTAGTTTCTTTTAAAATGTGAGATGTGTTAAATAAAATAGATGTGCATATAAATTTATATTCCTTCTGAACAAATATTTACTTTCATGTGATTGAAATGTAAAAGCCACCAAAAATAGCTGCTTTATTTTGAATTTAGGAAGAGAACCCAACAAGTCAAAGCAAAAAACACTGTGGAAGTCTCATGATCTGGATGGGGGACTGCTTGCTGACAGAGAAGCAATGAGTCACGGGGGATAAATTTGTTCCAGGAAATATATGGGTTTGACTTTGAAACCCTAATTTGGGGTTGTAGGAGATCTAGGGATTCTCTGATATTCTACTAAAATTCATAACTAAACCATGGAGATCAACATTTTGATGGCTTAGTGTGGTGTTTCTCAAAGTGTGGTCAGGGGCTACAGGATCAATAAGGGCCTCTATTTAGAAATGTAGATCCCTGAGCCCTACCCCAGGACTTTCTGAATCAGAATCTCTGGAGTTAGGCCTAGGTAATCCTTATGCACACGCACATTCTGAAAACCTGCCCATCTGCAGTGAATGTTTATATGAATCGCCTGGAATCTTGCTAAAATGCAGATTCTGACTCAGAAAGTCTGGGGTGGGGCCCCAACTTTTCATTTATAACAAGCTTTCAAGTAATACATTCACAACGAGCCCCAGGGTCACATTTTGAGAAGTGGGCTTTTCGAGATTATTTAGTAACTAAACATATCAGTAGTTTAAGGAAATCTTTCTGTGGAATCATGTTCTTGATAAGATCTTGCATCTTTCTACATTCCAGACTTTACAAAGCATATTCACAGACTCTATCTTATTTGGCCTCATCCTCACAACAATCCTGTGAGGTGGGTAAAGTATGTATTATTTTTACAGGTGAGAAAACTGGAGGCACAGAGAAGCCAGGTGAACTGTCCAAAAGCACAGAGTATTTGGCAACAGAGGCAGAACTAGAATTCCAATCTCCTGACACCTAGTCAGGTGCTATCTGCACTAAAGGATACTGTCTTCATTACTCTTAGAGAAAAAACACTAAAGACTTAGGTTTGGCTGGCTCTGCAGGGCAGGGATGGAAGATACAGAGTATAGGTGAAGAGATGCAATAGCAGGAGCTTTGCACATCTCAGTAGGAAAGAGCTGACCCCTTTAAAGACAGGGCTTTTGAAGGGTTAATCTTTTGCAACTAAAAATCCTACTCTACTCCCACCTCAAACTCACACAAACATGTACACCCATGTACATATATACACAGACACATACATACATACATGTACATGCTACATCTACAAACACACACACACACAGCCTCTGCCCACCTGTACTCTGCATGCTACCTCTCTAGGATTCTCAACGATCAACACCTTCTGAGTTTTTAGAAAGAAAAATTTAGTACAAAAACAGAAATAAGCAATGTGAAGTTTAAAAAATTCACATGCTTAAAACCTTACTGGTAATTGAAAGAAAAAATGCCTCTTCTAACAGACCTCCATTTGACACCTCCTTAGTGTCACTTTCTGAACTGACCTGACTCAGTCTGAGACTGTTAGGGGATGAGACTGACTCTCCAGTATGTCTGATTCACAGTCCCTAATATATTATTGTTTTCTGTTATGTCTGATAAACAGCCACAAATATTTTACCCATTGTTTGCTTCGCAGATACATTACTTGTTATTTTTGACTGATGGTTTTGGCCTGGGAATTACTGAATTCCCAATTTCTCACCTATCAACTAAGAAAGAAAAGACATTTCTGTGAACATGTGAATTGAAAGTATTCTTTGCAGCTTAGCTATATACTAGTTGGAGGGTTTTGTATGAAAATCTCTGATCATCCTGAGTCTCTTTGAATTGACACTATTATTTTCTTTCTAGTTCCCTTGTTCATAAACTTCTAAACTTTAACACATGCCTAAGATTTATTTGCCTAAGAAATTTTGTCTAATAAAATTTTTAAAGTTCAGAATTGAAGGTCAGAGCCAGAAGGAAATCTGAGAACTCTGAGAACCTCAGCAACTTTAGCTGAGCACACTAAAGTCCTTTTGTCCTCTGCAGGAACAAGACACAGGCTTTGATTCCCACAGTCCAGGTGGGCTACAAGGGCCAAGGTTCATGACCAAGCCCCATCCTGTTCCTCTGGCCTAATGTCCATCACTTCCACCTGGCAAAGTCTTTAAGCAGAAAAGCATTACCCTACTGTTTTTTTAAAGGCCCATGAACCTTTTTTCATATTCCCCTACCCTACTCTTCACCTAGCTGACTTCCAGGCAGTTTAAAAATCAGATTCAGACATTCAACTTCTCGAAGAGGACTTCTCTGACCACCACCACCCCCAGAACGGTTTAAATACCCTTCCCATGTGCTCACTACAGCTTATTATAATTTAGTATTTCTCTCTCCTCTCTGTACTAAGCCACTGGTCCTGGAGGGCAGAGACTAGGGGCTATTTATTTCTGAACTCTTAGCACTTAGCAGAGCCTGGCGCCTGGCAAGTGCTCAGTGTTTGATGAAAAAAATGAATGAATGAAAGGAGTCAGTGATACTCTATCTGTTACCACTCACTTGGAAATGGGAATAGGTGGGATGTAGAGCCCTTATTTCTCTGAAATCTCCTTCTAACCTAAGCAAATGATACCCAGAGCTTGATGCAAATGATAGTGCAGATGAAGTCAGTCCTGGACTATGTCATTTTCAAGATGTACCACTACAGAGCTTCCCTGTAAACCCTAAACCACTTCTCAAATACTGTTAAACAGAAGGACGGTGGCACAGGTCAGAGCTATCCTGTCGCTCTGCTTAATCAGAAATTGCCTTTGTTCCAATCACATGCAGAGAAATTATTTGCTTAGACACTACTAGTCCTTTCCTGGATATGTATTTAAACACCTCTTCAAATGACCCAAGTCTTGCAGACACCAGGGTTAGGCATCAAGCCACTACACATTGATGTGGAGGCCAAAGATGGTGTGAGTCAATGTTTCCTTGGTTATTTTGTGTTGTCCCGTCCCACAGGAATCTGCAAAGTAATGGGACACCCTTTTCCAGTCGAAAGAAAAGGGAACAGAAGTGAATTTAGTTTTTCAGGAACTTTGAGGGTGTCCACAGTGGTATAGGGCGACTGGCCTCCGCCCTCGTCACAAACGGTCTGGTGCAGGGTGGGGAGCAGAGTGGTCTGGCACAGTGTTTAATGTTTTGAACATTTATACAAGGAGGTGTGCCTAACAGGCAGGGGAAGAAACAGGCCTGGGCTGGGGTGTGGTGCTCTGAAAGTGAAGGGCAATTCTGCCACAGCTTTAGCAGGAAGGCAAAGAACACCCCGAACTCTAAGTGGGGGTGATGGTGTGCTCAGGTCTAAGAAGAGCCAAGGTCTGCACGACATGCCCATGTCCCGTGCTGCAGAACTGGCGCTGGCGCTCGCCTTCGAAGGCAACTGGGGTAGCACCGCAGCGCCCAGCTGGGCCTCCGGCCCCCTCGGCAAACTCTCAAACTCGGTGTGCCCAGGCTGCCCACTGGAGATCTAGGCCCGGGGCTGCCGGGGCTGTGGGTTTGGGTTCGGTTTTACTTTACCCTCCTTACTTCCAAATAGGTCTGCTTTTCGCTTTGGGACCTCTGTTGGGGGAAGAACGTCCTGGGCGCGCCGCGGGCGGCGGCGGCGGCGGCGGCCGGGCCGTGCGGCGGCGCGGCGCGCTCGGCCTTGAGCGGCGCGCGGCCGCCGCTGCTGCTGCGCGTGCTGTAGAGGCGCGGGGCCACGCCCTCGGCGGGCGGCGCGCGCGGGAACTCCTTGAGCGAGCGGCTCAGCGGCTTGGCCTTGCCGTGCGCCTGCGCCGCCGCCTCCAGCTTGTAGGCGCCGCTGCTGCTCGCCGGCGACGTGGCGCTCTTGGGCAGCGGCTGCAGCGCGTGCTCGGGCCGCTCGGCCTCCAGGGCGAAGCTGACGGGCCGCAGGAAGCAGATGTCCAGGCTGGACTCGGAGGAGGCGGGCGAGCAGTTCTCGAAGAGGGCCGGGGCCTGGAACGGCTCCTCGTCGTAGGGCGCGGGCAGCGCGAAGATCTCGCCGCCGTACTCGAACTCCTCGTAGGCCGCCGGCACGAAGCCGCGGGCGTCGGGCAGGAGCTCGGCCGGGGCGCGCAGCGAGCGCTCCACGTTACTCAGTGGCTCGGCGGGCGAGGGCTCGAAGTCCATCTCCGGGATGGCCTGCAGGGGCCCAGCGAGCGCCTTCACGTCCTGCTCGGCCGCACAGAACTGCGCCGGCGCCAGGAGGCTCTCTGGCCTCTCGTGCTTTCTGCCCTCCATCTCCCAGTCACAGGGCTTCCCGGGCTGCATGCTCTCCATCAAGCTTTGCTGTTGGCTTTTCTTCACTGGGGGCATCAAATGTCTTTAAGGGGGAAACAGAATACAAAAGAGATGCTTACGGGGTTTATTCGTGCTGCAAGGCCTGGAGCAACAACAGGCTTCCTGCCCAAACTGCCAGTTCCTCTCTGTGTCTCCCCTCCGCCCCCCAGGCGCCTACGTGTATTAACCTACCATGCTCCACAGGCTTCTCCCATTAAGGAGTTCCCACGAGCCCTGGTCCCCCAGTTGGGAGAGTGAAAGTAGTCAGTAAAGCGGATGCCAGAAGTATACATTTGAGCAAGGAGGCCCTGCGTAGGAATGGCTGGCGGGCCCAGGACAGTCATCACTCCCCATGTGGAAGCCCCCACCACGCGTCAGGGCCCCAGGTACCTCTTATCTCTCTTCTTTACCTTTTCTGCTCTTGCAGAGTCATGCAAGATAATGAAAACAACCTTTGTTCAACTCATGGATCTTCACGTTTAAGAACAAATTCCTAGATGAAGTAAATGTACCATCTTGAAAACTGTTGAAACTGGGGTTGGTATATGGGCTTCACTGTACACCTTCCTTTTGTTTATATTTGAAATTTGCATAATACAAAACTAACAAATTCCTTGTGGCTATAAAGCATGCTGTATATTGCCTCAAACTTCTACCCACGAAAACCAAAAAGTCTGTCACTCTAAATATGCTCAATTTCATGGAAGGTTTTTTTGTTAAATCATGGAGAGTGAATTATTTACAAAGGATGCTAAGATAGCATACCCATCAGACTGTATGTAGTCTGCTGGTTCCTTTGGAATTTAATTGCCACAAATGTGAGAGGACTACTTTTACATACACTGACCAAACTGGTTATTCTACTAGTTTGTTTATTCAAATTTTATTCTACCACAAAAATGCATAAAGAATATAGATGTAAATGCTAACACTGAGTATCTTTGTCTGGTTATCTTAAGATGAAAATTAGGTCTCACACAACAGAGGTGAAAAAAAATAGAAAAATGAAATACTGACCTGAGTCAAATTTTCTTTTGACTTGGAAGATTGTTTTTTTCTGATTATTTGTCCAAAATGCAATGTCAGGCATCTTGTTCAGGCTGGGTATAATCTCTAGGGACTTCATTCTGGGGGCTCTATTTGTTGTACTTTAAAGATGATAGTTTTATCATTGTTGTAAGAGCTTTAGTGATCCACAAAGTAAATATTTACTTCTTGCCTATCTCTCTCCTACTGTCCATCCAAGAGATTTCTTTTTTCAGTGTGGAGTTCTCTCTCTATAGGACTTCTAGGATTTTTCTCTATAGGAAGAAAATCATCTAGGGCTATATTTATAAAAAGATTAATGTCTGTTAGGTTTCAGAATGAACATGGAATTTCTCCCTCTTGCCTCTCCACATTTGCACTTCCATCTCTGACTGATAAAATGTTCTCAGTTTTAAGAGATGAGAGCAGAAAAAGGAAACTATTCATTTTGCATTATTGATCAGTTGCTCCTTCCAGTGATTGCAATTGGCATTCTAAAAACTAGTGATTAAAAATTGAAATAATCTCAATTACCTACCTCTTGGTTCATTGTAATTTTAGGAAGGAAAAGTAGCTTCTTGCATGACTTCTAAATTTTCTTTAAAATACTAAAACCTAAAGCAGAAATTATAGAATAAAAAAGGAGCTTTGTGAGAATTGTCTGTGTTTGTAAAGTGAGAATTTAGAATTCTGTTTTGGTTTCCCTTATCCTTCCAAAAGTCCTGATTTCAAAGCTAGCCAAACTTTGTTATCTTTCAGAAGTAAAATGAGTTCCATATATGTAAGTGGCCTAATCTTTACCCTAAAGATCCATCGAGAAGTTTGCTGAATAAGAATCTAGCTTAGTGTGCTACAAGGTTGTGTGCAGAGAATTTAAAAAGCTGTCAGATACATCCATTGCCCAGAACAGCTTTCAGAAAAGCTGTCATAAATGAACAGAGCTTATGAAGTCCTTTTCTGAAGAAGCTTCAAGGAAAATTGGGAAGGGCTAAACAACATCTTTTTTGCATCACCTCAAATTTATTTCTCTTTCTCAGAGCCCAGACTTCCACTGACCCCTGACTAGGACTCCCTTTCCACTCTGTCTTTTGGAGACCTAAGTGGGTTCCAACTCTTCTGAGGGGCTGTAAAATGCCTTCCTGCATTCTGGCACTTTCTTCTGCTTGATCATTGTCCAAACCCAAAGAGACTCATGTTGTAGATGGACAGTCATCATGGGTGGTTAAATTTGGGGGAGTAACCTCCAGCCTCTAGGCCTAGCTCTTAATATTATGCCTTCCTCTGTGATCCAAGCCTTGGGTCACCTGCTTGCCATATACAGGTCTGGTGGGGCAGGAGGGAAGGTCATACTCCTAATCCAGGCTGGCCTGCTACCCTGTACAGACCCCCTGGGACCCAAGGGCATTGCGATGAACCTTTCCACAGCAGCAGGTGCTTACGTGATAGCAGGGCCAGAACTGGGAGCAGAAGGGTAGGGCTGCAGCATCTCGTCTGAGTGGATCCCACTGTCACGGACGGCCTCGGGGCCTGCAGTGGGGGAAGCATCTTGCCCAGCATTTGCACACTGGGAAGCCAGGCCTTTGTACAGCTTCGCCATGGATGACCTAACAGAATGGAAGTAATGATTCTCAGGGTGTACAGTGGGATATTGGCTCTCTGAACACACACATTAATTATGTCAAAAAAGATAGGGAAGTAACATTTCTCAGATAAAGGTCAGTTGTGAATTTTTTCTCTCTCTCCAGGGCCCTCTACAAACCAAGTTGCTTGCATAATAGGAAATTGAGATTGGGATGCTGATTAATTGTCTAAATTGAGCTTGGGAAAGAGAGGTAGTATGGGGAGGTATCCTCCACTAGAGAATCCCTGGCTGGAGAGAGAGCCTCTTTTTCTGGTCTGAAGCACTGGCAGAAGTGATTGTTTTCCTCACTGGGTTGGGATGAGTTTGAAGGAAATCAAGTCATTAGTAAGCTCTGCTGTGGACTCTTCTGTTCCCTCTGAAGTCCAGATTCTCCCTAATCAGCCCTTTCTGCTGCTTTTTAGCATGAAATCTGTTTAACCACCACCCACTCCTTTATTTGTTTCATTTTCATCCACAGTGTTTATCACCATCTAACATCCATTAACTGGCTTTCTAGCTCTAAAAAGTAAGCTCTCTCCATGCAGCAAAGATTTTTGTCTTTTTTTCATTGTAGTATATTCAGTATGTTGAACAGTGCATGATACAGAATAGGTGCTGTAGAGAAAGTGAAGGTTTCTATGGCTACAGGATTTTCAACTGGTCCTGATTGGCTTGGTCACTAAACACGTGTGGGCAACACGTTGTTATTGACCCTATATAAAGAGCTCCACCCAGTGCTCTGGGCTGCTGCATGGCTGCAGGGCTGCAGGGCTGTGTGCCTGCAGGAGAATAGCGGCTGGAGTGGCAGCAGCACCAAGGACAGAGATCAAGAGGGCTCCGGCGGTAAAGAGGCCCAGAGGCAGAGACCAGTTTTCTGCATGCAGACTTGCTCTGAGTGGATGAGATTCTAGTGATTGACCTGCTACCGTGGGAATAAGGTTGGGTATAAACCTTTCACCCCAAGAATGTTCCACTGTCATTTATCTGATTATTTGTCTGAAGTGCAATGCCAGGCATCTTGCTCAGGCTGGGTATAGTCTCTAGGGACTTCATTCTGTGGGCTCTATTTGTTGTACTTTAAAGATGATAGTTTTATCATTGTTGTAAGAGCTTTAGTGATCCACAAGGTAAATATTCACTTCCTGCCCATCTCTCTCCTACTGTCCATCCAAGAGATGTTTTTCTGTGTGGAGTGGTCTCTGTAGGACTTCTAGGATTTTTCTCTATAGGAAGAAAATGATCCAGGGCTGTATTTATGAAAGGGTTATTATAAAAAAGTCTCACTGAACCCATAGTGAACTTGCCCAGGGCTGAAACCCATTGGCAATACAGGTGCTTAATAAATATTTGCACAGGTGCTTAATAAATATTTGTTGAATTAATGAAAGAGACCACATTCTGGCCTTAAACTGCATCTTTAAACCTGGTAAGTTTCAAGAAACTATTTTCAAGGTGGTTAGCAACATAGATAAGAGGGGGGTCTACATAAGCAGTAGAGTGAAAGTGCTAATTTTTCTAACCTGAAACATCAGGTTCCTCCCTGTAGCCAGCTTGGCCACCTTTATTTCCCTCCCCCTCTTTTCTTCTACCTCCTGTCACTGCATTTCAGCCGTTTAACAATCAATGTGGTTTCTTGTGAGACACCAACATTTTGCCTCTGTTCTCATGAACTTTTGATCAGCTCTCTAGACTGCCCCATCAGATCCTTACTTCTTGAGCTTTTTCCGTTTCTGAATAAGCAAATCCTCATTGCATTGAAACAGCAGGGTGTAGTGTGAGATAAATACTCGAAGGCGCTGAACACACACAAGAAGTAGGTAATAGTCAGGGTGTTCCTGCTCTGTGAACTTCAGGACATTCTGGAGGGAGGAAAAAAGGAAGCAGCATTGAATAATTAGAATGAAATTATGTTTTGTCTCTTCTGCACCTTACCTTGATCTTTTATGAGGGTTTGGGAGCCATTTAATCAAAACAATACATATGGCCAGTCTAATTACAAACTGAAAGGTCAAGCTTGCTGTTCTCTTTGTGCATCACAGCAAGGGAAATAATAGTCATTATTGCTCTTGTCTTGAGTTGGATGTGAATTTAAGATAATTCCATCTGAAAAATTAGAAGGATCTACTAATTAGATCTCTGAAGTAATGGAGCCATTCTATTCTAACAATTACTATCTATAGGCCATGCATAATAACTCAAACAAGTCAGACCAAGGTGAAAACATGTGGCATCAAGGCTGGCTGGAAGGGAAGAGATTTAGAGGAAGATTATGATCAAGCCCTGTCTGGTGGTCCCTATTACATTGCCTAGTGTGCTATAGTAGAACATGCATGCTGATTGGATTTGGGAAAGCTAATATTATTGAGTGCTTCCTGTTGCCAAGCACTAGCCCTTTAAATATATTTTCTTCTGTAATTTTTACCATGGCCTGATTGGATAGATGAAATTGTTTCCTCCATTTAACAAAAGAGGAAATCAAGGTACAGCTAAGTAATCTTCATTAGGTCACACATCTAATGAGTAGCAGAGCCAGGATCTGACTCAAGTCAGACAGTAGAATAAGGACTCTGATTTATCATACTCCTTGCAAGACCTGGGTACAGTCTTAAATTTTTTTCACCTACTAGATATGTTAACTTGTCCAAGTTTCTTAATTTCTTTGGCTCTCCATTTCCTTACCACAAAGATGGTAATATGATACCCATTTCATGGGATTGTTGAAAGGATTAAATATGATAATTATTGTGACAAAATGATTTTAAGATGTAAAGCCCCATACAATTGAGTCTTTTTGAATACTGACACTGGGCTATTTCTACCTGAGATAGGTCCCATGCATTTCTAAGATGCTCTTACTGAATAATTCAGGAAGATCTGTCAGCAGTTAAGCCAGAATAGGTGGATGGTGGGAAGAAGAGGGGCTGACAGGGGTGTTCATGAGCCTCTCTCAACTCTGCTTCCTCCAGGGTCCTACAAACTTTGTGGGAAAATTGTGTGAAGTCAGCTTGTCAGCCTGTTCATGCTTCTTCTGTGACATAAGACATAAGAAACGTATGGTAGACCTTGGACTCAAGCCAAAAGGAAGTAGTCAGAATAGCAGTTAATGGGCAGGTGTGGGTAAAATTATAATATTTTCAGATATCTTGCCTGACTTTAGTGTATCTGCATATCAACAGGCATTCCTCAGGGGTGGGAAAAAGTTCCTCTCCATATCAATGGGTAATTACCTGGGCAACCAAGGGCTTATCTGAACCTGAGAGGTTAGGGGGAGTGCTGGTTTGCTTCTGCTGGAGCAGGAAAAAGAAAAGGTCCTGGACTGCAGTTTGTAAGTAATAAGCGGGTTTTATTTCTCCCTTTGACTGATTTCAGTTTTAGAGGTATTTTGTCCTGGGATTTCCTTTCCCCGGAGTTACAGCAGGTTATATAGATATTTCTTAGATGTCGGGGGGCTGGGGTGGGGCTAGGAAGTACATTTAGATGACTGCAGAACCAAGGTGGAAGGGTCTGAATATGTACTCAGAGACCAGCAGAAGCTGCCATAGAAAGATCCTGGATCAGCAGAGTGGAGACTGCTGGTAAATGAAGACAGAACTTCAAAGGTAGGCATCATGGATGAAAAAGTTTTAGAGACTGAGACTTAAGCATATACCACAAGGTGGGTAATCATAACAAACTAAGTCATTTAAATACTTCTTAGAAATACTAATGAGCCCTTCCTTGACTGTTTACATTGTTACTCAGTTGGAATCCAAAAGCAATAGGTTAACCTGAAATCAGTTTGGTGGCTTGCCCAGCCATGCCTACCTGCAGATGTATCAGATATTCAGGGATGCGCTGGACTATGTGAAAAAATAGTGTGTATATGTCAGATTTAATCTCTTCATCACCCTGAATGAAAGAAAGGTAGAGTCAGTCTTCAGTGTCCCTCAGCTCTGGCTACAGAACCCCAGAATCAATCCCACCAGAGTAGGAAGAGCTAACTCCCAGAGCATTTTCCTCCAGAGTGTCAGGAAGCATTGATTGCTCATTGGAGAGGCCACTTGTTTAGTGACATGCTCAAGGAGATAACTTCTCTAGCAGGGAGCATATCATATACTTCTTTTGAATCCACCCAACTTTCCAAAGTACCCACTCCTCCCCCACCCCACCTTAGCACAGCACAGAGAGAAGTGGGCACTCAATAAATTATATTTGAGTTGAATGAATTCAATAAAGTCTCCGGTAAGTAATCATTACATCGGTTTACTAAAAGGCACTACAGGTGGATTGGACTGGAATGAGAGTGGGGAAAGAGTGTGATTAGAAACTGGTCAGCTGGCCTGGCAGCAGGAAATTTGTTGGACTTTCTCCATGTCCCTTCCCTTCCCTTCTCTTCCATTCTCTGAGTACTAACATGTGAGAGGCATCATTCTGTGCTGGAAATAGTGAGGGTTTAAGACAACCCCTCACCTCTTGTGAAACTTGGTTAGCTTTTAACTTAAGGGCTTCTGATATGGTTTCTTCCTACTGACCAAAATAACAAGAATTGTTATATATTTTTATGTGCTTATTGAGCACCTAATATATCACTGCAGTAGTAGCACTTAAAGCTACATGACTAAAACCACTTTGTGATCTTATAAACTGACAGACACAAGCTGACTTGAGTTTAATATTCAGATTCATATTTTCTGACCGTGAAAAAAGAAAATCCTCTCATACACTGTGCAAGCTGCACCCTGAAGATCTCTGCTTAGTATACCTGTTTACTTTGTCTAAACTTCCAGTGGAATGGAGCAGAGGGTGTGTAAGGTGGGGCAAAGACCAAAGCAGAGGCAGCTGTCCTTGAGTGGCTCCTTTAACCCCAGCAAGGAGAGTCTGTGGCTCTGTTCAAGCCATTCCCCTGCCCCTAAAGACAAACTCAGAGTGCATGTGCTGTATTTCCTGGGTGGAAGAGCAACATCACACAGATACACATGTAACCAAAGGGCAGTGAACACTGCCCTTTCAGAACTTACCTCCTTCAGAACAACAATGTGAACCAAAGAGATGCATTCAGGCAGGTCCCTCAGGTAGGCAACATAATAATCCAAGAAATTATTCTTGAAAACAAACACAAAAATGCATGGTAAGAGCCTGGGAACAGGAATGATAGCAGCTAATATATTTATAGAATCATGTATATCAAAAAGGAGTACTTTGCAGAGATTATCTTAATCATTAATATGTTTTCAGTCTTGTATTTTTTTTTAATCTTTTTCATTTTAAAGTATCTATCAATCCCTGTGGATCTGGGAACCAAACTCAGTAGCCCTACTTTAATAAGGAAAGCGAAATCATAAACCAAGGAAGTGGGGAGGAGTTATGTAAGATGAAAAGTATTTTTAAATTGTTAAGTGATAAAAATGCATGTTTTGTTTTTAAATCACTTATAATTTCAATCATCTACATCCAAATGAGGAACTTTGTCCAACCCACCTCATAGTGCCTAGAACAGTGGTTCTCAACTAATTGCCTATTTCCACTATTGCAAATTCATCTATGCAATATGCCCTCAGGAAAATAATTCTCAGCTTCCAAAGTTATGTTCCCATAGCTATAACAATTCTCAGCCAAAGAAAGCATACTAAATACAAATGAGTGAAAGTGCTATTAGAGGGAAAGGATTACATCTAATCTTTAATTTATAAGCTTTGTAGTATTACCCACAGTTGAGTATCATTAATATACAGAGGTTGATTGCAGGCAAAATCTGGCTTGCAGATCAATTTTAATTAGCCCATACAATATTTTTAAAATAAGAAATTTCCCACAGAGTTCTGGAATTCTATCTTCTCTTAAAATATGAGAAGACCTGCCAATTCTAATCTTTTTTCCTGAATAATAATTGGATGAAGCTGAGTGGCTTTTCCCTGTAGAAAAGCATGCATGCTCCATGTAGCTCACTTCCCAACAGTCCATGTTCAGCTCACTTCTACTGCTTTATATGACTACCTGGTCCTGTAGGCATTTGATTTTGAAATTCCTGGCCTTGATCATATTTTCTTTGTAGAACATTTCAAAACTTAGTACCCTTTCTATAAGGAAGTGAAAACACGAAACATTAAAAACAAATAGCTGAGGCGGAGCCAAGATGATGGCGTGAGTAGAGAAGTGGAAATCTCCTCCCAAAACCATATATATTTTTGAAAATACAAAAAATACAACTCTTCCTGAAAGAGAGACCAGAAGACACAGGCAACAGCCAGACTACATCCACACCTGCGAGAACGCAGCACCTCGTGAAGGGGGTAAGATACAAGCTGCGGCCCATTGGGACCCGAGTGCCCCTCACCCCAGCTCCTGGCAGGAGGAGAGGAGTCAGAGTGGGGAGGGAGAGGGAGCCCAGGACTGCTAAACACCCAGCCCTAGCCATCCGCACGGGACCGGAGACACATAGTGCGTGCATGGGCTGCTGGAAACTAGGGAAACAGGACAGTAAGACCTGTGAGTGGGTCCCCGCAGCCAGTGCCCCTGGGACAAAGAAAAGTGAGTGCTTTTTGAAAGTGTTAAAGGGACAGGGACCCCACAGCTGGAGGAAAGCATCCTGGAACACTTAGCCCAGCAGCTGGGAATCCCGGGGAACTCCAGGCGCCATAACCCCCTGGGCAGCAGCACAGCTCAGAGGCCCTTCATGGAGATAAACAGTCTTCCGGCCGTTTCCCCTCTGTTGTGGCTTCACCATATTGGAGCAGCAGCCTCAGGAAGGCCACACCCACAGCAACTGCAGAGCTAAACTCCACAGTGGCCAGGCAAGAATCAGAAGCCCCATCTGC